ATGCTCGCCAAGGCCTGCCCAGGTCCTAGAGGCCACGGGGAAGTGGTGGGAAGGTGAGTGGGTGAGACTCGCCTCCCTTCACGCCCACCTGGGCTCCTAGAGACAGGTGGGGTCAGGGGCATGCCGCAGAAGAAGGCATTCCGCACTCTGGAGGTGCTAACGAGAGTGGCAACGAGCATGCACGCAGCTTAGACACGCGTGGAAGTTCCTCGTACAGAGAACCCCCCAGTGCTGGGCACGGGTGCCAGGGCCCTCAAAGAGCCTTGAGGCAGGAGGAGCCACGGGAGCACAAGCTGTGCGGGGCCAATTTTTTTTTTTTTTGGGGGGGGGGAACCCTACTGTACATTTCTTGGCCTGCAGGGTCCAGAGAAAGACTCTAGACTCTGACAGATGGGATGGGAAAAATGCCTTTGAGTCTGCGATTTGCTTAGCAGAAAGAAAGGACGGTGGGTAATCCTTAAGTGACCCCAAGTGGTAAAAATACTCCAGCGCGAAGGGTGTCGCTGTGGGTGTTCACAGCGTGACGTTAGCGCCCCCTGGTGCCCGTGGTGGGAGATGGTAAGCCACGGGCCCACAGGCAGGCTCTGCTGAAGGTCACTTCATAGGGAGCCATCCTCTTGGCCCTGGGTGGTGAGCGATCAGAGGGAAAACGGATAACCATGTATGGACAGAAGAAACGATAGCGTCGGTCATTATAACCAATAGAACTAACGCCAATATTTTAAGGGAGCAATTATTTCATGCTATGCGTATAATCCAACATCCCCAAATTGCTAGCCGTTAAAAGCCGAACAAAATACCCCAAACTTCCAGCCTCTGTGCCTGCAGGTTAGCCAGTTCTCTCCCCAAATGTCTAAGAATTTTTAGACGTGCCCCTAAACCTTTCTGACCTCATGGACCACCGCGGTCCACAGACCACCCATTGGTTTGGATAACGGCTCCAGAGAGTTTCCTTGTCCCCACCCACCCCTAGGGACCAATTCCCCACAGTTCAGGGTCCCAACCCATTCCCACACCTTCTCACATCCCTGCGTTCAAACACACACAGCACCCCCTTCAACGTGCCCGTTGCACACACCTAGCTGCTGGCACTCGGAAGAGAACATTTGAGGAATTCCAGGGGATCCGTGTGAAAAGGAAAGCTCGTTGTCAGACAGTGCTGCTCCAGTCTGAGCTCACCCCATCCTTGCTGGCCCTCTCTCCGCCGCCACCCTCCATCCTGGCAAGCCCTAATGGGATCAGGATTTCCGCCCAGGCTAGGTTCTTTTCCAAGGCCCTGACCTCACGGGAAAGCCCTTGACCTGCCATCCTTGCCCAGCGGGGACGCCATCTCTGGCTGCTTCTCCGAAGTCCTACCTCGGCAGCAGCAAATGTTGGGCCTTTGATGGGGACTTCATTGAAGCTAACAGCCACCAAGAGTCCTTTCTGGTGACCAGGGTGAGTTACCACGCTGGAGGATAAGAGTTAAGGTGAAATGGTGCATGGATGCCAAGACCGGTGTGGTTCAGTGGATAGAGCATCAGTCTGCGGACTGAAAGGTCCCAGGTTCGATTCCGGTCAAGGGCATGTACATTGGTTGCGGGCACAACCCCAGTGAGGGGTGTGCAAAAGGCAGCTGATCAATGTTTTCTCTCTCATTGATGTTTCTAGCTCTCTATCCCTCTCCCTTCCTCTCTGTAAAAAATCAATAAAATATATTTTTAAAAAAACAAACAAAAAAAACCAAAAACGGTGCATGGAGCCAATCATTTCCTAGGAAGGGAATGGGAATGTGTTCAATAAACACCACGTGACAATGTCTACAGTAAAAAGCCAACTGGGAGGAAACTCCATTCATGTACTTGTTTTTAAAATGATCCTCGTTTCTCAAAAATGATATATGGTCCTATTTGTTCCACCCGTTTTTCTCTGCGATGACCTCCACCGCCCAGTATGAGAGCGAGGGCTCCAGCCTGAGCCCACGCTGTAGTTAGCTGCAGGACACGAATTCACTTGGGCGTTTGCAGGGGACCCACAATGCTTTGCAACAGGAAAAGAAGCATCTCGAGTCAGGCTCAGTTTAAAGCAGCAGCTCTCAACCTGGCTATCGGTTAGCATCTCGAGGCAGCCAGGCCCAGCCCCCAAAGCTTAAGTCTGAATCCCTGGAGGCGAGGTACAGGGACAGGCATTTTCTTTTAAAGCTTCCTAGGTGAGCCCTAACTGGTATGGCTCAGTGGATAGAGCATCAGCCTGAAGACTGAAGGGTCCCAAGTTTTGATTCTGGTCAAGGTAGGTACCTCGGTTGCAGGCTCAGTCCCCGGCCCTGGCTGGGGCACGTGCAGGAGGCAACCAATCGATGTGTCTCTCTCACAACGATGTTTCCCTCTGTCTCTCCCCCGCCCTTCCACTCTCTAGAAATCAGTGGAAAAATACCCTCAGGTGAGGATCGCAAAAACAAAAGCTCCCCCGGTGATGCCACGGGGAGAGCACCAAGCGAAGGAGCTGAGAGGCTCCATGCCGGCAGAGGCAGCGGGCCATTCCGGGGAGGCAGGCGATTCTAATAGCATCTGTCTCTTATTCTTTTGCATCGTCTTGGTCTCAGGGGAAAAGATTGCAGCGAGAGTTCAAGTTCTAAGAGCCAATTATCTGTAACAATGGGTCTTGGGTTCAAGGTCCATCTGCACCTCCACCGTCTGAGGATTCTGTCAAAATGCAGGTTTCTGGGTCCCGCCTTAGAACTAACCATCTCTGTCTGTGATTGGATGAGCCAGAAGTTACTAACTATTGCCAGGATGGGATCCAAGCCCATCCGACTCTGGGTCCTTTCCAGTTCCCCTCAACTTCTGACCAGTAAGACTGAAACCTCTGTCAGAAAACACCAGTTCTGAATGGCTTTAGAGGAGAGGTAATTATTTAAAGCAGCAGGACAGGAAAACAGCCAAAATTCCCCTTGCCCTCCTCCCTCCAAAGGAACCCTCCATCAATTGCTTTGGAGCAGAAAATACCCTCCCTTTCCTTCCCGTTCCACTGCATTCTTTCCCTCCAGATAAATACGCCTCTTCCCCCAAATAAGGTCACTTGGAGAAAAGTCCCTGCTAGTAGGCTGGAAATTGTCAGAACCTATAGGGAAATGATAAATTACCTTATAGGGGACCCTACCCCACACCTCACTTTATGGTTATCTACACTTTTCATATCTCAGTCAAACTGCAATAAAGTGTGTTTTAAGTCAGGAGAATAAGGTCAACTGTGTCTAAATGGTGTTTGCCCATTTAGAATTGATTGAGAATTAACTTTTTTTTAAAAAAAAAAACAAAACTTTTTTCTTTCCTATATAAGTCACTCCTCTTAATTCCCTGAGTAATTACAAGTGGCTTTTACTTACTTTATTTAGATAATTTGCATCTGTTCAAACTTGATCCACAGGGGCTGTTTATTTATAAGACCTGAGGACTACATCTGAAATAACTGTCAAGGATATTGTTTAATTTTTTAATTTATTTTTAAAATATATTTTATTGATTTTTTTACAGGGAAGAAGAGAGAGAGGGATAGTTAGAAACAACGATGAGAGAGAGTCATCATCAATCAGCTGCCTCTTGCAAACCCCCTGCTGGGGATGTGCCGGCAACCAAGGTGCATGCCCTTGCCTGGAATCGAACCTGGGACCTTTCAGTCTGCAGGCAGATGCTCTATCCACTGAGCCTAACAGGTCTCGGCAAGAATTAACTTTTAAAAAATGTGGCGGGTTTTAGTCATTGCCAAATGTACTTCCACCTTAAAGAAACTAAAGAAGGCTTGCACATGACTTACAAGTCTGGGTCTGTGCACCGTGATGGTGGTGGGCAGGGTGTGGGCCAGGAGAGGAACTGTGAGTGAAAACATGACAGTGTCAGGCCATCTCTATTGGCAGCACCGTTCACCACCGTGTGGGAGACACACGAAGACGAGCTTTCAATGCACAGGAGCAGGGTTTCCGTTTGGAAAATAAACTGTACAGAGTTGTTCTGACACTTAGTGTGAATGTCAACCAGCGCCACAGCGCACCCTGATGGTGACCCTGAAAAATGTGCGTTAGGGTCATTCGCTTTCACTCGATCCAGGAATGACAGTCGTAGAAGGAAACAATCTGAAACACGGATCCAAGGCTCCCAGGGAAACGTGATGCATATGTAGCAGGGAGAGGTGTAAACCGCGACGCACCATAAAAGGGGACCCCACCAAGGACAGTGGTCCAGATGTGGGCGAAAGAATGAAATTCCCCTCCTCCTGCCACACGCACCAGGCCTCAGTACCGGGAAGTGAGTTCAATGGTAATGCGTTTCCCACTGCTTATATATTTAGTTTCACCCAAGATTGTGTTTGAAGAAATATTTCAGTGCTCAGAGGTTTAAAACCATCGTACAAGACATTGTAACTTGTGCCCTTAAGAAGTCTCTAAGGTGAAAAAAGTTCCCAAGAAACTCCTCTATAAACTAATAAGAGTCAAATGGCACAAAAGAGCAATTGAATTAAATGTATTTCAATTTTCCCTCCTGTGCTAGGCAAGAAGGTGTGAGGAAATATATTCCAAATGACTGTGTTCAAGTGTAAGGCCCAGAGGGACAGTGGAATCGTCTTCTCTGTGAGCAAACCTCGAAAGAACGGATCTTAAAACGAAGGCGAACCTCCAGGGATATAGCTTCACTGTCACCACCCACTCAGCTGTCAGTCCTCACAGAACCTTCCAGCTCCTAAAACACCGGCTTCAGACTAGCCGGGCTGTCCTGCCTCAGGACCACCGGCCCTCTCTCGCCTCCCACTCTCCAGCTGCGGACACAGTAGTCACGGTCACCATTGCAAGCCCGTCTCCCCCGAGGGCGCTGCCTGGGGAGAAGCACCTCATCCATACTCACAGCGGCTCCACACAGGTCCTCTGCCAAGTTCACATTCCCATGGGCTGCACTTCATAAAACCACAGCATTCTTGAAGCGGAAAAGCTATCAAGTCACGTTAAAATAAGACACAGGCCTTCAGGAAAATAGAGTCATCACGTTTATTACTTTCATTAGGTTGCCGTTACATGAAGAATTCCTATGACTAATGTTCCATGTTTCTTGACATGCAAGAGTTAGCATTAATAGCTTAAGTTACTATAAATACCGCTGCCTGGAAGCAGTACAGCAGCTTTAGAGTTTTAAGACGACGGCCGTATTACTCAGATCTCCTCCGGTGTGAGAGTCAGAAGGTTCGGAACAGCTGGTTCGGAAGGTAGCCAAGGTGCAGGAAAGACGTCTGCGCCTCCTTCTCCAGGGCAGCCAACTCGTGCACTGTAGGTGCCAAGACGTCCACATGGCCTTTATAGTTTCCACCTGCATCGCACACAGAGCAGTGTGAATAGCCTGCCTGAATCAGCTTGTCGGCGATACTTTGGCTCAACTGCATCAGTTTAAACATTGCTTCCAGCAATCAAGTGTGCTACCGGGCAAGTTATCTCCAAAATGCAGAGTTCTAAAACATTAAATCATTACAGATCCATGATTTGGCCCCACTAGCAGCTGTCCCAATACCCCCGTCTGGCCCTCCCCGTCCTCGACCTTGATTGGGGAAAACACAAGGTTAGCCTGAATCTTAAAATTTCAGGAATGAGCGAAGGGCATTCCAGGCAAAGGGGAGGGTGGGCTGGTTACCACTGAACTAAGCCAAAGGCTTCTGATTCTTCACTCAAAATCACCACACTCATTCCCTAATAATTCTATAAATGTTCAACTACTCATAAAACATTAGCACAGCGAGAGAGGCAGTACACTGCTTCCTCATCACATACATCATCCAGTAAAAATGCCGTGGACAGGTATGGACAAGGGCTATGAGAATAATAAAGAGTAACATGCTAAAGATATACACTTGACATCCTATACAATAAAAAGCTAACATGCAAATCAATCAATGGGAGAATGACCGGTCACTGTGACGTACACTGACCACCAGGGGCAGACGCTCAACTCAGGAGCTGCCCCGGTGGTCAGTGCGCTCCCACAGGGGGAGCCCCGCTCAGCCAGAAGCGCTGAGCCAGGCTCCTGGCTGGCGAGCGCAGCGGCGGTGGCGGGGGGCCTCTCCTGCCTCCACAGCAGCACTGAGGAAGTACGGCAGCGCTAAGCCGTCCGACGGACATCTCCCGAGAGCTCCAGGATTGCGAGATGGGGCAGGCCTGGTTTGAGGGACCCCCACCTCGAGTGCATGAATTTTGTGCACTGGGCCTCTGGTTATGAAATAAAAGTGCTTCCTTCTTAAACTGATGCTCAGAGAGGAAACATTCTAATTTAAAATAGGACTAAAAGTAATTCAAAGCTTACCACCAGCTGCCCGTTTTTGTCCATAGGTAACTTTGCCATCAAATTCATCCACAGGTACCTTTATATCCGGCTCAACCTGAGAAATGGTACAGTTCAGGTGTTCTTCCACCTCAGAGAGCAACTAAGAAAGGGAGAGAAAATTTCATTTTGACAAGAGTTGCATTTTAGTAGCATTAAATAAAAGCAGGAAGCTGTACAATACTCAGTATAAATGGAAGATAGATTTCTAAAGAGTTGGACTCACAGTTAACAATTTATAAACTACAGCTAACATCATAATCAATTACCCAATACTGTCCCTCCTAAGTGACAACAGGTAAGTGCTGATATGACTTTTGCAAACAAATGCAGTCTAGTTTCCAACGGTAATAAGCTTATGGCATCTTACCTGCATCTCATTGTACCATATGGTGCAGCCACCATCCTCCTTGAGCCTGGTGTTATAACAGCCCTTCCCACGGCTGCTACACACATGGTACCAGACCTAAAGAGGGAGGAGGAATGAACGTGCATGGAGACCGAAACACGCTTGGATGCTCCACCGTCACCTTGTTTTTAATACTGTCTGTCCTCGAGGCAGACCGCAGGTGCGGCTGCTGCTGCCACCACCCAGTAGCTCTTTTTTTAACCAGGTCTCCCAAAAAGAACTCTTCTCGAAAACAATCCAACAGTTTTTCCAAAATGGATGTCAGTTACAGAAAGCAATTCTCACATAGAAACGAGGATGAAAAAGTACATATTGGAGAATGCTATATCAAGATGAGCATAAAAAGGAAGTTCCAATCTTTTTCCTAAGAAAATAAAGCAACAGCGAAATGAACAACTGGTTTGGGCAATGAATATATGGGGATTCTTTATTCTTGCAACTTTTCTGTAAGTTTGAAATGATATCGAAAATAGTAACTTACATTCTCCCCACCCCCGTCCCCCTCATAAAAAGTCTTCTATGGCACCATGCCACAGTTTAAATACATTTTGGTGAAAACAATTATTTTGAAGCTATTAGGACAAATAACATTTTGCATTTCTCCCTTCCAAACTTCATCCTACTTATCCATTTAGCGAACACTGACCAAAAAAAAAAAAAAAGGCTACAAAGAGGTTACTTATATTCCCTGTGAAACCAGATTCAATGGAAACGGGAAAATCCCGCTGCTTTTCTTTCCAACATCTGAAAAACATGTAGCAACATAAACCGTGAGTGCGATGCAGCACCGAGAGGCTTACCTTCTCTTTCTCCGTTGCCACCAGGGAAATGGCCAGGCCCATCCTGAAAGAGGTGAACAGTCTCGTTAGGCCCCGCCCCCCGCACAGAGGCTGCGAGGGGAGGGGAGGGCAGGGCCAGTACCTCTCAGCTCTGCCGACCCGGCCGATCCGGTGCACGTAGTTCTGCTTCTCATCAGGCAGGGTGACATTGATGACTGTAAATGAAACCGGTCATTACCAAGTGCCATGAGTTTCTAAATATTCTGAAAATATTAGTTTACTACTTTAAATTCCATCTACAGTATAAAAAGTGTCTTTTTACCGTAAGGAACACCATGGATATCAATTCCTCTGGCAGCCACATCTGTGCAAATCAAGAATCTTACGTCTCCTTTCTACAGAGAAGAGAGAGGAAGAAAGGCATTTATCAGCACATACACAAAAACATAAACACAAGACTGTCTTCCCACTGACTGAGAATTCCAGGTACTACTGTGTTACTTTCATATTAGAGACCCACTTAATCTTAATTCTCTGGGCCACCTCTTGAATTTTTAAGTTATGGTTCACTAACTACTGTAACACGACATTTAAGGTGAATAAATGAATGACTAGATTCATTTTGCTTTGCTTTTCTCTTACATCAAAGATATTAAACCTTAGAAATCCTGATAGGTAATTCAAGAGAAAAATAGAACAAACTATAAAAACAGAAGCATTATTTTTACCCGTGCATTGAAATTCAGAATACTAGATATTTTACCTCAATGCTTGTGAGGAAAAAATGCTAACGAGAAGGGGCAGAGAGTGCCCCCTGGTGCTCACTAAGGAAATACACATCAGCCTGGGATAGGGTCTGGCCCAGGCACAGCAGTCAGGGCTCTGGGGGAGGGGAATGGGAACACTGGGTTTTGGTCCAGTACAGTGGTCAGCAAACTCATCACCCAACAGAGCAAACATCAACCGTACAACGCTTGAAATTTCTTTTGAGAGCCACATTTTTTAAACTTAAACATCTTCTAGCGCCACTTCTTCAAAATAGACTCGCCCAGGCCGTGGTATTTTGTGGAAGAGCCACACTCAGGGGGCCAAAGAGCTGCCTGTGGCTTGTGAGCTGCGGTTTGCTGACCACGGGTCCCGTAGAATGCCCGGATACAGAAGGGCAATTCTCCTGAGTAAACCAGACCATTCCGTACGTTTTCCCGTCCACATCAATCCACAGCACGGGAACATAACCTGAAGTTCCCTCGCCCAGCTCTCTCCCCCGTTTTCCAGGGTGCGCCTGAGAGAATGCATGACGCAGGGAAATGAACACACTGCGATAAACAGTAAGGACTCTTGTGGGTGCAGGCTACTGACCTTGGGTCTTAAAGGGCTAAAGCCCCACCTACCTCATGACCTATTCATGTGCTGTGGCTGGGATGGTCTGCCCCAAACAATTAAAACTCTATTTAATTCTACAAAACCCTATTTTGACACCTGTCTGAAAATAATCCACACATTAAGTTTTCTATGGGCATCACTAAGCTTTTGTAAAGGCTCACAGACATTGTTCACCTATCTAATGATGCTTCTAAAAAAGATCTACCTGGAAGAATTTAACTAAAATTTTCTCAAACTAAAAATTCCTGTTACAGTAGTGTTGTGCTGACAGAGAATATGTCATTTATCACCTGACCTTAAAGATGACTGAGCACAGCCATGAATGGAATACACCAGCGAGGACAGAATTATTTTGAAATTTCTAGGACAACAGTTGCTTTATGAATAGTAACTGGAACTGATTAAAACCAGATACAACTCTCCTCTTTCGTAAGAAGGAAATGTAAACGATTTCAATGCCAATACCTTAAATCTTTCCAAGTTCTGCTTTCTCTCGTGAGGCTTTCGGTCGCCATGCAGACAAACGCAGGAGAACTGGTGCCCCTTCTTATCAGGCCCTGGGGGAAGGCAGATTAGTTACCCGTGGGAAACACTGGCGTGAGTCAGGCTATACCGGTACCTGATAATTCTACGGAAATCTACGACTGAGCCAAGTGCCACTAACAGGAACTCCCTGGCATTAAATTGGATGTTGCTTTGAATGACATTTTAAGCCACCTTCCCAACCTGCAGAAGTAAATAAAGCAGCATGCCAATGAAGTATATTAATAAGAGGAAAATACATGTGGACACCAGGAACTTCGCCTGTACCAAAGGAAGCGAAAAAAAAACAAAAAGTAGGTAAAAGAGGTTGTTCTTGGAAGAATCAAACAGGCACTAAGAAGCCCACGCCCTTACTACAGGCCACGCCCACAGCCTGCCCTCCTGAAGGTGTTCTACACCAGCGGTGGCGGTGGCCAACCTTTCGGACATCGCGGACCAGTGGCCCGCGGACCACCGGTTGGCGACTGCTGTTCTACACAACCGTTATCTGAGCCGGCGGCTGGGCCAACCTCTGCCTTTTAACAGACTCTAGACCCCGGGTATATGTTAGAGTGCTCACGCATATATCCCAATTTCCACCAGCCACCTCTTATTCTGTAATTTCTAACTCTTCTGCTTTTTCTCATTTCCCCCTTTTTCCTTTCTTATTTAGCCTTACGTAGATTGTTTTTTCCTCATGTATCGATTTAAAAGACAGACACGCTATTACTCAGGAGAGAAACTTGAAATTTTAACATTACTCCATCTCACCCTCCTTCCAAATGACATAGGTCCTTCACACTGTGACCCACGCTCACTGTAGTGAACGACCTTGTGGAAATGGTCTCGCTGCTTTTCCTAGGCTCATCTCACAGGAAAGCACTGTCAGCACACACAGCGCCCCACCCCTGCTTTCCATTCTGTGCACATTCCAGCCTGCATCACCCGCAGATTAACAGCCGACCGACTGAGGGGATAAGCACAACTTACTTCAAGTGAGAAAACCTCACCTCCTCCTTGTTGCATGAAATACTGCTCCAGGTTGTCACAGTCGATCTTGGTTCTACAGAAAATAATCGCCTGGTCCATCTTGTGCTCCCGGATGGCCCGCACCGCGTACTCCCCCTTCAGGATTTTAATGGCTTCAGACCACATCTCTAAATATCACCGAGGAGAACAAAACAGAATCTCAATCTGACTGCCATGGACACAAATAATTAGTCAGACTTACTGCTTAACTCACCTAAACTCTGCTTCAATGCGACGCCAGTTTGTGGGGTACCAAAGCACCTCTAACCATCATCCCTCCTATGAGGGACACATACACACACACACACACACAGAAAAACATAACCACACAATCTTACCTTTTGCCTCACATTATCGTCCCTCAATGTGCCATAAATGTTTAACCCCATTTAAAAACAAGTTATATACTTTCTAAGTTAACCTAAACACCAAAAAGTTCCTACTTCCCTCTGTGGAGTAAAGGCCGTACATCAAACATAGTTAGAAATTTCTTAGGCAGCAACCTCCAAATCTTTATTTTTCAATGGGAAGCTAAAGACCTTGTCTTTGTTATCTAGTTTCCTGAAATGAAGAATCCCTGGAATTCAGGGCCTATATAATATAACCGGTCACCAAAGAAAGGTTTCCTATGATCAGTGAGCACTCTATAATTTAAAATATCTGTAATTTAGATGCCAGGAGGCTAACATCTTAAATTCAGTCACTAATATTCCTCTAAGTTGACTAATATCAGCTTTTCTCCCATTTCTTTCTTATTTTTGTTGCTTTCATTTTCAGATTTCCTATTCTACTTTTATAGATCCCAGGAGACAGGGCATAAACACAGTAAAACATACAATTTGCTTTCACAACCTTTCAGCTGCTTTCACTGCCGTGTTTTACTTACCCGGACTGTTAGCGCCAGGTCGTGTGTTATCTTTCGCATGTACTTCATCCGTCTACAAACAGCAAGAGCACAAAGGGGCAGGGAGTGGTTTAAGCAACAATTCAGAACAGGCGTCACTTTTTACAAGAAGAGAACTGTCTTTATCTTTAGGCTGCACTTCAGACACATCTTTATAATCTGTAGGTAAGCGTTCTTCAGATTCAGAAAAACCCTTTAACTGCAGGTCTAAGGCTAACCAATTTGAAATGTAATAATAAAAATACAAAGGTCGTTTTTAGGACTTTGGGTATTCATTATAAACATACCCTTATATAATGGCAAATCCAGTAACAGTGGGGGGAAATGACATGATGGACACATGAAATTATTATTATTTTTTTTAATTAAGGCACATCAAGAAAACACTAAACTACTACTAAAAAGGAAATCACTGCATCTGAAATCAGGTCTATATTTACAGGTAATCCTGTTCATTTATAAAAATTTTATCAAAAGCAACTTTATAGACAGAACAGTAAAAGATGAGTCCATCGCTTACCCCATGCCCTAGAGGCCTAACGTTTTCCTAACCTGTTTCTCGACTTCTCTTTACTGAGGTGAACTAACTGGCGGTGTTAAGCATCACTAAGGGCCGAGGTAAAGCTAGTTTTCGACTGCTTTCCTCTGTGCCAACGGTCACAGACAGAGACTCACTCTGATGTGGTTCTTGCCCAGCCGCTCCCACAGCCGGTCCGCTTTGGGGTTCACCGGGACCACCACGTGGTGCACCGTGTCCGGGACGGAATCTTCGCCTTTTAGATCAACCCACGTGGGGAAATGCATGATCTTCTCAGACAGTTTCTTTACATCAAAAGAATGCAAAGTAGCCGAGCAAACAATCACCTATGAATAGGAAAGTCAAAGTTTAGATAAACTCTCATCGTATAACTGTAACTCCACCAACGATATGGATGTGGGCCACGACGGACACTACGCCTGGAACCTGAAGACAAGTTCAGTACCCGACTCTGCAGCAATGAGCGGTGTGGCTTCTGGCAAGCTCCTCTCTCTGAGCTCAGACCCTCTGCTGCCCCAGAAACCATGACTCTACTCCTCGGGGCACAACAAAACCTAAGTGAGATGAAAAGGTTTTGAAGATCTAAATTGTTAAGGTTCAGACTTAGCTAAAAACTTACAAATTTCTCTAACCTAGACTTTTTCCTTTGTGTGTATTATATAATCAAGTACTAAAGAGACGTTTCATAGAGCAGTTAATCAGAAAACACTAGGAGATGTGAACGTCAGACAGAAACTAAGCACTGATAGCAACGAGCATGCGCATGTCTAAGCCGTGTTGGACCTCTACCTGCAGCCTCTTCCCGTCGGAGGTGATCTGCGGGATCTGGCTGTGCATCCGGTTTATAAAGTCCGAGTAACCCTGGGAGAGCAGCCCGTCCTGCGTGAGACGCAGAGAAAAGCGTCAGTTCTGAATCAGCGTCTACACCTTTCTCTTCTGAAACAAGCGTGAAATGTAAGATGTAGAAACTCATTCGTACAGATATATATCCACGTATTTTTAAGTGATTATTTCCTCTTGGATCCTTATAGACAAGTTATAAGTTCAACTTTAAACCCCATGTGACTAAAATATGAAAAAGCTGGTGATACACAATCCAAACACCACACTTTAGTATTCATGAAAGAATAGGAGAGTTAACAGCTATTACCACATGTCCTAAGCATATGATTTAATATGGAAAAAACATAACACAAACACAAAAACCTGTTCTAAAAACTACTGCACCCCTCCTGAAATTAATCTGCAAGTATGTTGCAAGAGCTCAAACACATTAATGTTTTTTCATACAGTTTCATTTGCAACTATGACAGAGAGGAATAATTTGTAATGTGTAAAAAAATTACATCCACACAAAAATAACCATTTGGAAAGATAAACAAACCTACGCATCTAGTAACAAGAGCAGTAAAATAAACAATGAAGTATCCATACAACAGACCATCGGACAGCCTTTAAAAATCTTTTATGAATAACAACATGAAAACTTAACAATACTACATTAAAAAAAAAAAAAAGCTTTCCTAGTTTGGCTCAGTGGATAGAGCATTGGCCTGTGGACACAAAGGTCCCAGGTTCGATTCCGGTCAAAGGCATGTACCTTGGTTGCGGGCACATTCCCAGTAGGGGGTGTGCAGGAGGCAGCTGATCAATGTTTCTCTCTCATCAATGTTTCTAACTCTCTATCCCTCGTTCCTTCCTCTCTGTAAAAAAAATAAATAAAAAATTAAAATTAAAAGAAGCTTTCCTAGATGCCTCAAAACTTGATTTCAACTGCATAAAATAACATTTAAATAAATACAGAAATGGAAGGAAATATAGCAAAACTGGTAACAATGATTATCTCTAGATATCTGAACCATGACTGAATTATATTTTTAATTTATTTTACATATTTTCGAAAATAAAAGCGAACACTTTAAAAAGCAGAACATAATTCAACATACGGCTTCATCCAGGACCAGGAACCTGACTTGGGACAGGTTGAGCTTCCCGGTGGACACCAGGTCATCCAGCCTCCCCGGAGTGCCGACGACTATATCCACCTGCAAACATCAGAGAGGCACCGATGGGACCCAAGAAAGCAACTCGGTTTAGTTAGAAAAGCCCGAGAAACACATTAACCTGACTTGTGTGATGGCACCAACTACTCCACCTGGTCTCGACAGCGCATGTGCATAATGCTGCAACTTTAAGAGATTTTTTAAAATTAAAGAGCTCTACTCTGTCTCTCCAAAGCTGACTTCTGCGGCAGACACACACAGGGCTTAGGCTGAGCCAGAGGGCGGTGGGAGACACCAGGAGAAGAGAAGGTAAGATGGAAAGAACAGGCGAGAACGCCTCAGATCCCGAGCAGAAGGAAAGTGACTGCTACCGAGAGAGCTCGGAGCAGCACTGCCCTGACGGCCATGGAAAATGGAAGTGAGGAAATTTAGTAACTTAGGAAAAAATAGATTTGGGTTTAGGGAGCCAAGATTGGGAATGAACGTATTAAATATAAATATCTCTTCAACCACTAAAATATAACGTACTAAATAAGAATATACTAAAGCAATATTGCTATCTTAGAATGCCACTATCTTAACAAGTCCAACACATATGATTCCTTGCTCTTAACATGCCACAGTGGGTCAAATCTAAATCATTCGGAATGAAAGTTCTTCTGCCGGGCACCAATATAATGGGAGAGCATGTCTGCGCCCCTGGCTCAGTGCCAGGTGGCTGAGACTGACTGAGAAAACAGGAAGGAGGGAATGGAGGAGAAATGTGTCAGGAAGAGGTTATCTCATACATAGAAAGTATTTTATAAGGTCCTACCCATGTTTAGTTTCACCGAATTGATGAGCACGGCTAGCAATCTCTCTAATAAAGATCTGAGCTTAGCTTTGTCCTTTATAAGCGCATGGCCACGCACCGCCCTTAAGACCTCTCCTTACACGTCTCTGACCTCATCTCCCTCCCACTGGGCCAGGTCTCAGCATCCTCACCCATCCTAAGGCTCTCTGCCCAAGCTGCTTCCTTCTCTGCAGCCCACTCTCTCTCCATGTCTAGTCTTCATTCGGCCTCTTCTTTTTCAATTACTGCTCTCACTCCCCCCCCCCCCAAAAAAAGGATACTTCATTCATGAAAGTGAGGAGGGAGTTCCCAGCCGCTCGAAAGGCAGACAGACGGAAAGACGGACGCATGCCGGAGTCCTGCAGGAGGGGTTCGGAAGAGCCTACTCCGAACACTTCCGGGAAGCAAAGGCTTACCTGCTGCAGCCTGTCTCTGAACCAATTTACACTTTTTTGCCCTTGTTTCCATCTCTTGAAACACAACACAACTAGCTACACTGCCAAAACGACCGCCTCTGATGTGACTTTTTAAAAACCAGAAGCACAACTTACCCCATTATCCAACACGGAGAGCTGATCCCGGGCTGCCACCCCGCCGATGATGAGAAGCTCCCTGAAATAAATACACAGAACAATAATGCGGGAAAAGGTGAAAGCACGCTTCCTGTGTGAGCAGCACCCCTCTTTCCGGTGGAAATGCGAGCTGAGTAAGTAACGGAGGAGAAGCCACAGGAAAGTAGGAGGTAGGATGGACACACCCAGGAGCCTATGAATGCGCTGGTGTGGGGAAGCCAGCAGAGTGTGCAAGCACGGGCACTCACACACGAGCCTCCTCTCACAGCCTCCAGGGCACGGCCTCCTTTCAATCACCTTTCACACGTAATGGCTGAGTGCGCAGAGACCAGCTATGAAATAATATGTAGATACCAAGTTTTAAAAGCTGCCACAGGCAGAACAACTAACAACAGGGGGATGGAGTGGGAGGAGATTTACTGGTAATTTTTTCCGAATATCCTTTAGTTGTTTAAATTTTTCTCATTTAAAATGCTTCAAAAACAATGTTCAGGTTAAAAAAAATTGCCTTATGTCAAGACAATTAGATTTTGAACACAAACAGAAGCTTTACCTTAATTTTGGATTATCAACATATTTCTTAAACTGCTTGACGTTGTTCAGTGTCTGTTCAGCTAACTCTCGGGAGGGTTCGACAATCAGAGCTTTGGGTGCGTTGGGGAGGAACTTGGTCTGTGCCACCTGCGCACTCCCTGCGGGGAATAAAAGGGTCAGAGCACCTCCTAACCGCACGCACGTACCTTTATTCACAAAACACGCGTGCAAATAGGCCACTATCAAAATTTTAAACAACGGTCCAAAGTATAGGAGATAGTCAAACAAAACACAAGAAAGCTAAGATTGCCTAAATGAACTAAGGTTTCTTTAAATCTACTTGCAGAATTGCCACAAATAAAACACAATCAAGGTAAGATTGCCTAAATTTAGTTTTACTGATGTGTGCCTACACCAGCCAGGGGGCAACTAACTTGCTAAGAGAAGCCTTACCTTCTGGAGTTCCCACATGCCCTCCATCCTGAACGCCCCCCCCCCCGTATACCCCCCCCCCGTATACCCCCCCAGGCCAGGTGCAGTACCTGTGTGCTGTGATTTGACAACGCAGCTGTCCGGCGCCTTGGACAAACCTACAAAACCATCTTTTGGTGGAAACTTAAATTCTTCTTCACCAAAGTTGAATTTTAGTTCAGCATTCTAGCAGGGAACAAAGGAGAAAATGACAATTCTTAAGCTAACAGCAAATTAGCCAATACACAATAATGCCGAGCAAAGGAGCTGTGGTCACAGCAAAATTCTTCCTACTGGATTCTCACTCACCTTCAAAACACAGGCGGGAAAGAGGGCTTGGTTCTTCAAATGCGGTGGTATTTCAAAAGCCAAACCGAGGTCTTTTCCTTTAAAAATAGAGAGAGAGAGAGAGAGAGAGAGAGAGAGAGAGAGAGAGAGAGAGAGAGAGAAAGTAAAACTTCCAAAGAACTTATATGCATATATGCATAACCCACGGACACGGACAAGTGCGGGGGAAGCTCATGGAGAGAATTAAAGGGGAGAGAAGGGGACTTATGTAATGCTTTGAACAATACAGATAAAATGAACTGATAATTTACAACACAAAAAAGAAATTGAAAAGCCTTCTCTGACCACATCCAGTTTAAAACAGCACCCTTCCCCCTCATGCTCACACCACCCACCCACCAACCCACCTGCATTCTTGCTTCCCCTCATGCTACTGGATGGCTGTGCTGCCTAATGCCACCCTCTTCTCTCTCACCTAATCCTGAAACGGCACAGGGAACGGCTTACTTGATTTCACAATTCAGAGGGTATCTCAAACTTACCATGTCCCAAATTGCACAGCTATCATCCAACTGGCTCCCGCCTACTGCCAAACCCACCCACCCACCCACCGACCAACCAGTCTGTGTCCAACACAGCAAAACAGTGACACTGCTGACCAAGGAAGACGATGGCAATTCTCTACTCAAAACCCAGGGGCTTCCATCTCTCTAAACATAAAGTCTGCTCTGGGGAGAGTGGGTATGTATTGGGGGGGGGGGGAGGGGGAATGGTAAAATATGTACACAGATAATAATTTAATAAAAAATAAAATTAAAAAAATAAACATACAGTCTGGATGACGACCAGTAAGGCCCCAGCTGCCGGTCTCGCTACCTCACCGGTTTAACGTCTATCCCCTGCCCCAGGCTCAGGGGGCTCCAGACCCACTGGCCCCTCACTGTTCCTCAGAGACCCCAAGCACACTTTCATCTCGGGGCCTCTGCATTTACTTTCCCTCTGTGGGAAAAACTCCTCCAAGGTACCCCTCTGCTCATTCAGACTCCTACTCAAATGTAGGCTTCTCAGACAGCCCTCTCCGACCATCTTGTGTGAAACACCACCCCGTCCCGCCTGATATCACTCTGCATTCCCTTACACGGACTTAGCCCCTCCTTCAGTGCATCTGCCCCTTGACACACTGGGTATCTGTCAGTGTCTCCCCACCGTAGGCAAGCCCACAAACGGAAAGGTGTTTGCCTACTCCATGTTCTGCTGAACCTCTAGCACCTACCAGGGTGCCTGGCACATACCAAATGTCAGTAAGTATTATATTTGTTTAAAAAAATGAAAGTAGGGAGGAAGGATTGAAGAGGGTGAGGGAATGTCAGATATCTCTAACACAACCATCCAGAGAGAGCTTACCGTTTTTGGAGAATTTGATGTGTCCTTTGTCTATGTCTAGGTAACACCCGATGGTATCATGCATAGTGAATTCCTAGAAAACCAGAGAGTCAAGTGCTGTTCATAAAGCAAATCCATAAATAAAGTTCAACTATACCTGCATCACAAGTATGTGTTTCAAAATAACTCCATGAAGCTTGAATGTAGTCGTTAAGAGACCTATTATACTGGTAGCATTTCACACGGAACAGAAGCATCTGACGGGCTTTACAGAACCAAATGACTAACCTCATCAGAACAACTGTATCAGACAACCATGATGGCGACCAAGAAAGGAGAGTAACGTGTAAGTCAAAGCCCAAATCAAAACGGGGTCAACACAGAAGACAAAGCAATATGCCTTGGAGGGGCTAAGTGAATTTCATAACATTCCTTCCCTCAAGTCCAAATCGGAACCACTATGGAAAATACAGTTGTGAGTACATGAGTTTATTCTTATAGTATTTATTCTTATATTACTTACTAAATTAGCCTACCTTGCCCACCCCTTTATTCAGATAATCCACTTGAATTTGAGAATCATTTCTACGCCCTCAGTCATGTCATGACTGACCAACTAAGCACACACAAGAAAACTTCCTAATGCTATGACCAAATCAGTAAAACAACTTACCTCCCCATAGTTATCGAACTGTTTGTTATGGGATTTCTTTCCTGTTCCACCAAAGCCAAACCCAAACTTGTCAGTACCTAGGTTTAAAGAAGTATTTTACTTATGAGGGGAGATGTAAAATTAAAAGCCCTGCAAACAAGATTTACAAATTTATATTAACTGTGGTATGTATTCATACACACTAACTTGATTCTGACTTCACTCATATTAACCTATTCCTCATTTTACAGTTATAATATACTAGAGGCCTGGTGCACAGATTCGTGCACTGATGGGGTCTGGCCAGCCCACCCTAATCGGGGCAATCGGGGGCAGGGACCGGGCTGGTGGGGAGGGTGGGATGCGGGTCGTTGGTGGGCAGGCCTCACCTCCTGTTTGAACTCAAGGTTAAACTCCCGGTTAAGGGGACAATTTGCATATTAGCTTTTTATTATATAGGAAGGCTATTTTTTAGTACTTCAAATCTTTTTTGAAAGGGCTTGAGGAACAGATGTTATTTCATGTCTCTAAAACATAAACTTGGAATGGTCACAGGTTAACAACTCACAAGTGTCCGATGCGGCTTCCTCTGAAGCACTTACCGAGGTCTAAGGAAGCCTGCATGGAGGACCAGCCCACTCTGCACAGCCCCTGGTCATGGCAGGACACCTCGTAGTAGTGCTTCCCTACAAGGCAAGACGTTTAATGTTTTATCAGTTACGCACGTGGCCACTTGCCCACCGTTTCTCAATTATAATCTGTATGACCCAGATGAAGACCTGTAGGTAGGTCCTCCTGTCACATTAAAAGTCCTTTGGGTCCCTGCCATAAAGCTATGGTAAGGAAGTTCGTTTATTAGTAATTACCCCTGAGGTTTACAGGTGTGCTGTAAATGCAGCTTAATACCTTTCGTCAGTCCTTTGGTAGCTCTACACCCGTGCCACTCCTTCACCTCTCGGCTTTGGCAGCAAAGACCATCTGACCCAATGGCTGGATTTGAGAAAAAAGCACAGAACACCATGTCAGTACAGATGATGTCAGTCATGCACTCTGAAACAGTCTCGTTCATCTCACTAATAAGATAATGCCTTCGCTTGGTGTAATGGTCCAGAGAATGAGGCGTGCGGATTCCTGAGTGACAGCAACCTCTTGCCCCGGGGACCGGCCCCTATTCACCCCTGGAGGGCCTTGGCCATAATGGGGACTAGTTCCTCTACAGTCATCTTCCCCCAGGACAGGATTCTACCGCCACAAGCCCAGAAAGGAAGCAAAGCAGCTCCTAATCTCACTTGCATAAGAGCAGCTGTATCAGCAACACAGATGTGTTTAGTCAACTGTTCTCTTTAAAGAAATGGATTCCTAAGGGTGACACAGAACCCACTCCTAAGTACCTGCTGCTGTGATCTTATGCTAAAATTAGAGCCTGAGTGAATACCGTGCCAAAAGGAAAACAGGAACTGCGTCTGGCTTGCTCCCCAATCCATTAAACCACAAAACGTAATGAGGAGGGCAGGAAACGCTCCAATAACCAAGCCGGTAGCTGTTATACGCTAATATCAGAACGCTACAAGATGAAGCTTTATAACATACATCAGGCACAGTGCTCCATGGTGCTTAACAGCTTCAAGTAAATGGGCTTTTGTGTGTTCGTGTGAACCACAGAGAAACAAGACTCATACTCAGCCCCTGAATGTAGAATAAACCTTTAAAATGTACATTTTACTTCACATATCAGAAATTAAATTATCCAAAATAAACATTCTTACTCAACGGGTACTACATTATGTAAAACTGAACTTTAAAGTTCTCTGGCTATGGCAAATCCTTAATACTGTCATATTTAAGATTCTGTATGCAGACGTAAACTTTAATATAAATTAGACATCATGGTGGAGAGTAGCAGTTTGGGTGCTTTGGTTGGTTGTTTTGGCATGATTTCCCACGCCCACTCTGCATTTCCCTGCATTCTGCCTCTCTCAGCAGCACCTGGTGAAAATTCAACTAAGTCACCCTATTCTTGACACTGATCACTGATGACAACCCCACAGTGCTACTCATTCTTCATAATGGCTTCACAACGGTCCTCCCATACACCCGAGGCTTTGTTAACCACCCCTTAGCAAGAACATTCACTTTGTTGGCAGTTTTAACCCTTATAATGCTCCACCAAACAGTGCTGTATGCATATGCTATATACTGCCTCCTTCATTCCAAAGAGTTAGGCAGGGGTCTTCAAACTTCTCTCATTATGAGAATCACCTGGTGGAGGTGTTAAAACACAGATTCCTGATAGCACTTCTTATAGTTGGGATCCGGGAATCTGTGGTTTAACAACTCCACCAGGTGATTCTCATAATGAGAGAAGTTTGAAGACCCCTGAGTTAGAGCTTCCAGGAATAGATGTGTGTGTGTGTGTATTTTAATTTTTATAGGTAATGGCAAACTGCTTTCCCAAAAGGCAATAACCCATATAGCTTACCAATTTTTTGGATTACTGCCAATCAGATGGGTAACTTTAATTTCCATTTCCCTCTATCCTGTAAACTTGATCCTGGCATGTTTACTGCTATTTAGACTGTTCCCACTGTGAACTGCCTATTCCTATTCTTTGCCCACTTTCCTTATTGGTCATTTATCTCTTTCTTACAAAAAATATCTATGCAAGAACTCTTTAGTAGTATAAGGATTGTTTCTTTCATCAACATTGCAAGTATTCTTTCCATATTTATTTTTGTCTCTTGACTTTTCCCTGTAATATCTTTTCCACATATATTTTTTAGATTTTAAACAAAGAGACCTATATCTTTTATAATTTCTGAGTTCCTTATTTGGGTTAGGAGAATTTTCACACCCCTAAATTGGACATTAATATAGTATATACGTGTAGTGTATATACATATATATTTAAGTCTTAAATACATATATAATTTTTCCTAAATAGGAGACAAGTCAATTTCACGTTACTCCAGATGGATCAATTGGTGCTGAAACCCTTACTGAGTAAATCACCCTTTTCCCACTGAAATTGATATTTTTTCCTACATATTAACATTTTATATATACTTGGATGCATTTCCATTATATTTCATTGATTTATCTGTCTATTCCTATGTCTGTACTAAACTGTGAAACTGTAGTAACTACATTTTAAAATTTGGTGAATTAAATCTTTATTGCTGAATGTCACAATTTTTATATACTCAGATATTATTACAAGCAAGTTTCTGATTTATAAATGAGTTGCTAAAATCTATCCACTTACCAAAAGCAGATCCTCTGTCATATGGGTTCATTTGCCATTTGTTGAGCACTAAATGAATATAACAAGAGTTACTACAAATGTATGAAATTAAAAATACTTTGTCAAAAATAAAGCATATATTTTATATAATTTAACTCCTCTAGATTCAACTTTACACATTATTTTAAATGTACAAGTAAACAGTGTTGGTGTTTTATTAGCAGAATACTAATAAATTGAATACTGAAATTGAATACTGAAACAGTAATAATCGCTGGCCTATCGGGGGATGAAACTTCTCTCCTTCTGCTTCAGTGCACTTTGCATTTGATGGCATCCATCTTTGTCATAATCATATGACAAAGGCACTGATAAAATCAAGTTCTGGTAACTGAACAAGCTGACTTCAATCAAAATAAACATAACTAATATATCAAGATCTAATTATCATTTCATCATTGTTTTTTAAAAAGCAAGTCCTTCACCTCAAAAAATTCAGTACCATATTCAAAAGTCACAAAATTTTTCCTTACTTTAATGGGATCAGCATTTCCCTTTTCTAAAACACCTTCATCGTATATGGATATTCAAAGGATCATTAACAGCTATGGAGAACTCCATGTGTTTTCAGCCCAACTTTTCTTAATTTCTGATCGAATGATAGCTATCATCTGCATAAACCCCTTGAATAACGGAGAAGTAACTTTCTCTTGAGGTTCTCAACTTCAATTGCTGGCTCAATCTAGTTACTCAGGAGTTAAACAGAAGCTTCCTCCAGATTATTTCTCTTAGTCCTGGTCCCACTTTATAGAGGAATTGTTTCTCTCCAGATCCTTTCAAAGGTTTAACTATTCTCTCTTCCACTTGCGTCTCCATGTTTAAGTGTGCAGTTTCTTTTCCTCATAGGACATGATTAGAACTATTACAATTCTGGTTATCCTCTGGAAGCATTCCCGTTTATAATCATCTCTCATAAACACCGGTTTAAAGTTGTTACAAGTTTTGAAATTACTTTTAAATGGGCCAATGGATTAATAGTGCATATCCTATCTGTCTCACAATTCACTTACAAACGAGTTATGCTCTAAAATCTAAATGACATTTAGCATCCCTGCTTCCAGTGCACCGAATGCCAATACCACCACTCGGACCCTGACAATAAAAACCCACACCAAACCTCACACCTGCACATGCTGGGGGTGAGAATAACTAATTTACACAAAGGGGAAACATTACTACGCGAACAGTACCTGAAGCGCCAGTTTTAATTGTTGTTTTCCCCTTTTTGCCTTCCTGTTGGTCTTTCAGAGTTTCATAGACGATCTGGATAACTGGAATGCTGAAAGCCTACAGGGAAACAGTGGTTCCACATATCACCATTCCGATATCGATGCCAATTTACTAATCAGCATAATTACAGAAGTTATGCCTGCACGTCAAATAATTACACATATTTTAGACTGCCATCCAATCTGCCCAAACCTCAAATTCCAAGACAGCTGACTGAATGAAGATAACGGGAGCCAGCTGACAGCTCCAAAAACAAAGAACGGGAACCTGCAGAAGGAACCTAAACTAGAGGAAAAATACCCCCACTCTGACCAACTGTTCTCCAGGCGACGCCGCTGTGAAATCCGCCTCAATCCGCCTCTGTTTGCAATCTCGTTATTACTAGAGCCACGAGTGAATGTAAATACTGAAGATAAATGTAACTATGTCTCCAAGACCAGTTTAAAACTATATTCTTAAAGCCATACCTTACAGAAGTTATTTCAGAATAGCTGGCAATAAGACTATAAATAAGCAACCGTTCTGTCACATTCTGCAGGAGGTTGCTTTATTAAATATCTCTAAATCAGAACTACTGTACAAAGCTGCTTTAAAAATCAATTCTTAGAAAGCATACTTAAGTTTTTATTACTTACACCAGTTTTTCCACTTCCTGTTTCTGCAGCCTAAATGGAAAAAAACGTTGTCCATTAAAGAAGTCAATTTAACTAACGATACCACGTGAAAACCGTTTACACCCAACTAGCTACCTTGACTCTCAGGTTCCCTCAGTCAACTGCGGCTTTGCCAACCTTGCTGTTCCCTCAATAACTGCTCCCCCTTCCTTTCCCATCGCTACCTTTCAAACCTAAGGCCTCATCCTTCTAACCTAGGGTACGCCAAGTATCCAAACAGTATCAAATCTCTCAGAACTCTATTACCAAATTAGCCCTCACAAAAACACAATCCTAACCCTGTAACACACCCCTCCTTAAAATGTCCAATGATCCCCACTGCCAACATATACCCAATTCTTTTAAGTGACACCTGAGAAAGAGCCAGGTCATCGGAGCCACTGTGTACTTCCCATCTTCTCTCAAGTTCCGCCTCACCCGACACACATATTTTATGCTTCCCTCTAACTCAGTGGTTCTCAACCTTTCTAATGCCGTGACCCTTTAATACAGTTCATGTTGTGGTGACCCCCAACCATAACATTATTTTCCTTGCTACTTTATAACTGTAATTTTGCTACTGTTATGAATCGTCATGTAAATAACTGTTTTCCAATGGTATCAGGCGACCCTGCTAGCGGTTCTCAACCTGCGGGTCACCACATGAGGAACTGTATTAAAGGGCCAAGGCATTGGACAGGGTGAGAACCACTGCTCTAACTGAACTGCTCCGAGATCACATCTGCCTTCTAAGGTCATTCCTCTTTCATCCTCCCTTGTCCTAACTCTACTGCCCCTCCAGAAGAGTCCCCCTGGCCCCCTCATCCAGGAGGACACCGGCCCCACTCGAATCCCCTTTAGACTCTGCAAGCTTATCCGGGTGCATGGTTCTCTGGTACACATGATCTGTGCATGTGTATTATGGCGCTACTGGGGTGAAGCTTCTCAGTAACTGCATCTTACCGGTTTCCCCACAAATCCTACCTAGTACTTTGAATGCAGTATCTGTGTCCTAAATGCATGTAAATGTATAAAATTAATTGGGTGAAGATATCATCTTACAGCCTATCGAGTTCTCACAGTGGCTCACAGATATTCCCCACTGTGTGCCCCGGCTCCCAGCCCCTCCCCTGTTCAACATACCATAAGCACATCCCCGCCTCCCAGGATCAGAGGGATGGATTCTGCCTGGATATCAGTCGGGAGACTAAAAGAATCATATTTTGAAAAATTTTAGTTAGTAAAAATAAAATAAATCACCTAAGCTAATGAAGGCATGCAGGCATGCTAAGCTATAAACCTAAAAGAGAATTTTATTTGGTAAATACTACCAATCTTTTTCAGCTAGAAATATATCAAAATTTTAAAAAGGAAATGTCCTGTAAGTTAGAGAATCACAATAAAACTTAATTTCACGTACCCAACTACACCCAAAAAGAGCTGATAAAATCATGAACTGTTTCAGTGACAAAGCATTGCCGTTGCAGGTACAGTTAAGCTTTGTGTACTTACAGCCAATCCATCTCTTCCACAGCTTGTGCAATTTCAGGCATAACGCCCATCTCTGAAAATAAAAATTAATTTTAAAAAACCACACACACTAAACTTAAATCACACGGCTCCTAAAGTTATTGAGAGAAAAGGCTTTGAAGCGCAGCATCGTTCCTCGGCCCCTCCTGAGTGAGGCATTGTTGAAAGAGGGGAAGCTTTGGAGAAAGACCTGAGTTCAAATCCAAGCTCTCACTAGCAGTGCTCCCTCGGGCAAGCTACACAACGGGGCAGTTACCTACCCTGGAGGGGTACAGGAAGGTTACAGGTAACCAGTGCGGTATTGGTGCACAATTGCCATGGAATACACAGTAACCCATGGAATACATGTGTTCCCATGACTAATGAGAAATCTGCTGGAGTTACAGGGTTGGACCAGCATCTTGGTTGTTTCATCTGGAGACAAGGTGGAATCCTTGAGCCCAGGCTATGCGAGGACCACGTGACCGCCCTCAGAGCCCGAATTCACAGGCAGCCAGAATCAGAGCTCTGCCTACCTGGAAAGGCAGGGCCGGGTGAAAACGTGGGTAACTGGAAATGTCAGGTGCAGAACTGTTTAACGGTTTGCATATTTAATAATTCTACTTCAAAGCCAGTCCGAAGTGAATAGGCTGGATTACTTCTGATTAGATTTTTCTCGCTTTATCATTTCTCAAACGAAATGCAGAGGGTAGTGAGTTGGATTACTTACACCTCCTTCCCAAATAAGAAGTGCTTTTTAAGACTGCATTTATAAAAATGAAGCTTTCATTATTATTATTACTATAAAAGTAAACATTCCTATTAAAAATTAACAATATTCCCAAGCCCTCCAAACAACCAATTTGGAAAATTTGTATTTCTTGCAATCATTTGTGAAAAGACATAAAACAAATCCACAAACTGGCTATATCTATCGCAGGGGTAGCTTTGTCTTTGCATCAGCTGAGAAGAACCATACCGGCAAAAAACACAATAGCTATAACCCTGAAAATGTATATTATAAACTTCTTGATATAAACATAGCTGGCATCGGCGAGTATAAAAAATCTTTTTCAAAAGGGCTCTCCTAATTCCAAATCTGCCCAGGAGAATGCATAGACGGAAAAACTAATCATCAAGAGTTAAAGTTGTGTGTCCAAGCAGACCTTGCTAAGACTGGTCCCCATTAGAGTCTACCTGATTCTCTCCTAAAAAGCAAACGCGTTGGATAAAGGAGAATGACCGTCTTCTCTATGCCACATCCCGCCGGCTGGAACCGCCTGTGAAACTGCTATCCTGTGAGCAGCAACAGACTCTCAGCAAATCCCAGACTCCTTGTTCCATGTGGTCATGTTCCCTGCATGTCTGCTACAAAGCCATCTTCTCTTTACATATAACATGTTTAACCCTTACAGGAAAAAATGGGGATTTTCATGTTCTTTAATCCCACATGTCTTTTATTTCGTATCCCAGACTCTTCTAGCCCTTTACCCCAACATCCCTGAAATGTGTGCGCGTCTCTCCAAGAAGTGACCTGTAAAATGACAACCTGGACCGGCGCTGCACTCCTGGCGCTAAGGCCTTGCTTTAGGGGAGGGCTGGGGCAATGTGACCCACCGCCCAGCAGACGTCCCCTCCCTCCTACTGTAAGATGTAACTACAGCCACCTGGAATCCCAACTCAGGACTAAACGCGTGGAATGCCTAATGTGTTCACAGGAGAAAACTGAAAAAGAACAGCAGCATTTAAAGTCACCTTGATAGATTAAGAACATTAAAATGCAGGCCTGACTTGCACTGCCTGCCATGCAAACTTCCCACGTTTTAAGCATATAGAAGGCTTAGTGCGGCTTCTTAACGCTGTGCATAGGAATGATCGCAAAGGAAGAGGTAAACATAGCAACTGTCAGGCTCCATAAACGACCTCAAAACCCTATTTGGATTACAGGAGGGCGTCCTGCAGCGAATGAATGAGCATTTCCCAGCGATGAGCGCCTGAGCTCTGTGCATGAGGATGCAAACGCGTCCCCTGCCAGCTCCCCTACCACCTAACGCTGGTGTGGATCTGCTGGCGTTTAAGCAAACAAATCCCGGGTTTCCGCCTGGGGCGTTTGCTTTTGGAAGGATTTGGAAAAAACTGGGCAGAGGCGGGAGAGTCCGTTCCCAGCGGAGCCTCCTCGCCCCGCTGCCCGCCGGCCCGCCCGCCCGGTCCCGGGCTCCCCAGCGCCGCTGCCCCGTCCGCGGGCGGGAGGCTGCGATCGGGGACCCGCTGGCGCCGCGCCGCCGCCGGCCCCGGGCAGGGCGGCCGGTGCGGCTGCGAGGAGCGGAGGGAGCCGGTGCCCGCAGCTCGGAGCGCGCGGAGCCGCCCGCAGCGTGGACCGCGGGCGCCCGCGGACAGCTCCCTCCCGCGCTCCCGGCCCCGGGCCGCCCCCCCACCCCCCACGCAGGCCCCGCCGGTTCCCGCCGGCCGCCCGCGCCGCGATGGCGCGCAGCCCGCCCGCACACGCACCGGAGAAGGCCGCCATCTTCGCGCGTCCTCCGCCGCCGGCCGCGCTCCCTCCCTCCCTCCGCCCGCCCCGCCCCCCGCGCCACGCGGCGCCGCCCGCTTCCGGCCAGGCTTGCGGCTCGGCGGTTCCGGGCGGGAACACGGCCCCCCGGACAAGGGTTCCGGCGGAAGAACTGATTCCCCGACTCCTCCCCCTACTCTTTTCCTCCCCCATCCGCCCCCGCGCGGACCGGTTCCGGGGTCCTTGGCGGGAGCCGTCATCCTTAGACTAAGGTGACCAGATTCTAACATGGGTAAAGCGGGACACCACTGACGGGAGGGGAGGATGTGCTTGATTAAAAATTTGGTCTCTATGGAGCAGCAAGAATCTTCATAGAACGCAAAAATAGTATTGCAATATATTTTTTAAAATTTCAACATAGCCGAAACCGGTTTGGCTCAATGGATAGAGCGTCGGCCTGCGGACTGAAAGGTCCCGGGTTCAGTTCCAGTCAAGGGCATGTACCTTGGTTGCGGGCACATCCCCGGTGGGGGTTGTGCAAGAGGCAGCTGAAGGATGATTCTCATTGATGTTTCTAACTCTCTCTTCCTCTCTGTGAAAAATCAATGAAATGTATTTAAGAAAAAAATTTAAAAATAATAAAATTTCAACATAAGTACAGTTTACAAATATAATAAATTTTTAAAAAATTATAGTATTTTATTCTTTAGCATATTTCTCAACTGAGTGAATTCTAACAACTGATCAACCATGTGAACTTTGATAAGCAGTTCTCGATAATCAGTTCTCAACCATTATTTGTTATTATTAAGGTTTAACACTATAGCCGAAACCGGTTTGGCTCAGTGGTAGAGCGTCTGTCTGCGGACTGAAAGGTCCCAGGTTCGATTCTGGTCAAGAGCATGTACCTTGGTTGCGGGCACATCCCCGGTGGGGGCTATGCAGGAGGCAGCTGGTCGATGTTTCTCTCTCATCGACGTTTCTAGCTCTCTATCCCTCTCTCCTCCTCTCTGTAAAAAAATCAATAAAATATATTAAATAAATAAATAAAAATAAAGTTTAGCATGATAAAATTAACAACAATAATATGAAACACATATCCTGGCTAAATAGCCACATGGCCGCCGAAAACCGTATATTCCCTTCCTGTTCTCCTGCCGTTCCCTAGCTTGTCGTGCATTCTTTCCAAAAATCGGGACTTTTTTAAAACGCTGCGGGACGCGGGACAAATTGTTAAAAATCAGGACTGTCTCGGCAAAAGCGGGACGTCTGGTCACCTTACATTAGACGTGACTGGCAGTGACCATTTGTTCGGAGCTTGCCCTTGTCCCCAGGGCCTCATTCCCACCCCAGGGGGCAGAAGAGGGTGGCTCAGAGGCTCTGGATGATCTGAGGGCAGAGGCTGCCCTCTCCCACCTGCTCAGCCCCCAACCTTGCAGGCAAAGCAGGGCTTTGGGGAGGGAATGATCTCCACAGAAGGTGCTGGTGAGCTCAGTGCCCCGAGCACCAAGCCCATGGAGTGCTGGCATCACTTCATGTGTTTGACTCAAATAATGGTCTCCCAGCCTCCTTTCCATGGTGTTTGATAAAGTTTATTGAAATCTTGAATTTCACACCAAAACTGGTTTGGCTCAGTGGATAGAGAGTCAGCCTGCGGACTGAAGGGTTGGGTTCGATTCCTATCAAGGGCATGTGCCTTGGTTGCGGGCACATCCCCAGTGGGGAGTGTGTAAGAGGCAGCTGATCAATGATTCTCTCTTATTGATGTTTCTAATTCTCTATCCCTGTCTCTTCTTCTCTGTAAAAAAAAAATTGATAAAATATATATTTAAAATAATAATAATAATAATAATGTGAATTGGGACAAGATGTGATTGACTGTCCTCCTTGGCAGGTAGGAGAAGAACAGGCAGAGAAGTAGCAGGCAAGCAACCCTTTCACCAAACCAGAGACAGGATATGGGTACCCCCAGCCCAGTATCTTTCTGGTCCACTCTCCCCAGAACGGGCCAGTTAAATAGCACCCCCTAACCTGGAGGCAGCTCCGGAATCAATCCCCTTACCTGGTACCAGGAACCAGCTGCATAGTTAGGTGGGAGACAACTACCACTAGGTGGCGCCACACTGCCGCTGAGCCAAGTGAAGTTTGAACCTGTCTTAAAACTCCCAGCGTGGGACTTCCCAGGTACCCCCTCCCCCAGCGGCATTTGATTTCTGTAACTTATCAATAACCCCACATCTTACACAACTGGATCTTTTGGACCCCAGTCTGTGATAGTAATTGTCCTATGTTAGCCATAGACCCAGAAGAATGTGCTCTGTATTTTCAAGGAAGCTCTTGATAGCTCGCTGCAGAACATGTGGTTTGCTACTCCCAAGACAGACTTCAGAAATATGCCCTTCAGACAGCCAAGGACAGTGAAGGAGGGGAGCCCTGTGAAGGAGTCTGTGGCCCAGCCATCCCGAAGGCACCCACAGTCCCCTCCCCCTCTCCTTTCTCATTCACAGCCAGCTCAGCTAGCACCTGCAGCAAATCCTGATCAATGCCAACCTCCACACTGCTAGTCTGCCCCAATAATGATAGCTCCCTTTCCTTAAATTTCTGACTTCCAGCTGGACATAGGGCTGCCCAGAATAAAGACTTCTTTTCCCAGCCTCCCCCGATAGCTCAGGATGGCCATATCCCTGCGTTCCTGCCTGGGGCGTGGAAATAGAAGTGTCCTGAAGGGAGATGGCATGTCCTCCTTGCTCTTTCTCTGCCCTGCTGGCTCGAATAGGGATGTGATGGCTGGGGTCGGAGCAGCCACTTTGGACCATGAGAAGAGAGCTGAGGACAGCGGAACGATGCAAGAGAAGGGCCTTGATCCCCTGACACCCAGGGGCACCTCATTAGCCAAAACTGTGGCTTTAGCGTCCTTACGTGGGAGAGAAATAAGCACCCGTCTTCTTCGTTTTGTGTTTTCTGCCCTACTTTGCTGCAGGTGCTCTTAATTTACATGCCCCCATTAGTTATTTCTTGCTACCAAATAAATTGCTTTAAAATCTAGTGACTCAGAGTGCCAACACCCGTGATCACTGGCAGCTTGTGTGGCGCAGGCGTGCGGGAGCCGCTTGGCGGGCTCTTGGCCAAGACTGCAAGCTCCCGAGGCCGCTGCGGGCGGCTCAGCTGGCTCTCGGGACCGGCCAGCAGGGACTTCAGGGGGCTGCTGGGAGGTCCTCAGGAGAGGGCTGCTGACACCCCTACCCCCCCCCCCTTGGCCACCAGAACAAGTGACCTTGGGAATGAAGCCGAGTGAGGGATGCCTTCTATGACCTCACCATCAAATCCACCTGCCGGTACTTCTGCACGATCTTATTGGCCACAGGTGCCCACTCAGCGTGGAAATACACAGAGGCGTGGGGGCAGGTAGACAAGGCCCCCCGCACCCCATTCGAGGCCCCCTGCACCCCACTTCTGGAGATCTCACACCCCACTTCTTCGTATCTGTTCAAGTAGCAGGTGATAAACCCTCCAGATCGGGGAAGGGTGTTTTCCTACAGTAGCCTCGGGGATAAATCATGCTCCTTCCACGCCAGCTATTGTTGCCATTCAGTGTGTTGGCTTAGCTGACGTGGCCTGTTTTTCACAATTTACCTGATTCAGAGTTGGGAGAGACAGCTCACGTTTAAGCATCCTCTTTTTTCCCCTCTGATTTTCCGCCCGCTTCTCGGCGGAGCCGGAGTCGTTGGGTTTTACGCCTTTGTCAAAATAAGCTGTCAGCGGCGCGGCCAGATGCAGGGGACGGCCACATCGGTCTCGCTGGCCCCGCTTTCACCTTGCGGTGCCTGGACCGGCGGGGGCCCGGCAAACAGACATAAAGCAACACACTGGAGCTCTATAATTCTCTCTCCCCCGAAGAAGCGGCCATAAAGCCCATCACTCCAGATATATGGGGGAGAGAGACAAAGGACAGCCCGGATGGGTTTCAGAGGGGCCGTAAAACAGGAAGAGAGGCCTCACTCACCTTGGCGGTCTCATTAGAACCCAGCCAGGGGCGTGATGGACGGTGGGGTGCGGGCTGGCCGGCGGGCATGAATGTCACCCCTGTCCCACCCCTTCCCGCCCCTGTGACGGATGCTGATGGCTCTTGGGGAAATGGTACCGCTTTCGGAGTGTGAGCAGGAGCGCTTGGCCTGGAGGCTGTTGGTGTTTAAGAGCAGACTGTGCGCCAGGCCGGTAAATGGTCTGAATGCAGAGACCCTGGCCCTGCCCGGACCCTCGAGTCCCGGGACCTGCAGGAGAGACTCGCTGAGCATCACACACAGGGCGCGGGCCTGTCTCCTCAGCCTCTGCCCAGCATCCTGACTTCACCCTCCCTCCTTCCCGCCTGTGAGGACTGATCACAGCTTTTCCTGTTAGCAAAGCCTGGAGTTTTTATTTAAAGCAAACCGAAACACAACATGCTATACTTTATTTTTTTATTTTATTGATTTTTTTACAGAGATGAAGAGAGAGGGATAGAGAGAAACACCGATGAGAGAGAATCGTCGATTAGCTGCCTCCTGCACACCCCCTACTGGGGATGTGCCCGCAACCAATGTACATGCCCTTGACCGGAATCGAACCTGGAACCTTTCAGTCCGCAGGCTGACGCTCTATCCACTGAGCCAAACCGGTTTTGGCAACCTGCTATACTTTAAAAAGGGGGAAAGAGGACAAAGATGGTTAGGATTTTAAAAAATATATATATTTGTATTGATTTCAAAGATAAAGGGGGAGAGAGAGAGAGAGAGAGAGAGCGCGAGCGCGCGGGAGAGAGGAACATCAATGATGAAACAGAATCATTGATCGGCTACCTCCTGCACATCCCATACTGGGATCAAGCCCACAACCCAGGCATGTGCCCTGGCCCAGAATCGAACCATGGCCTCCTGGTTCCTAGGTCTATGCTCAACCACTGAGCCACACCAGCCAGGCAGGTCAAGAATTTTTTTAAATGCCTGGAGAAACTAATGCTGATATGGAAATTTATATTGCCTGGCCATAGGTAGTGGCACAAATCACCCATTTATCGTGCTCTTAGAGTCTGTCTGGGTGGGAGGTGGGGTGGGCCTGGGCAGCAGGAATGGCTTGTGTCTGCTCC